TATTTTTAATGAATTTGCTTTTACCAGTATAAACTTTTATTAATTATATTGTGATTCTTTATTTTTTTTAATTTTGTGGAAGTAGTTGTATGAAAGAAAAAATCTCTTCTTTTATAGATTAATAGTTATACGATCAATTATTTCATGTAAAGGCTCGAACTTACTAGAAAAATGTTGATTCGTTATTGAAAAATAAAAGTGAGGTCCCAGATCAAAAAGTCATAGACTGGGTAACAAAGTAGAGCGATACATGATCTTATTTAGAATTTGATTTGTGTAATATAACCTAATTTTGATTAGACAATTTTAGAATTTTAACGTCATAGTTATTTTGTATCAATCATTAACAAATTTATTTCATTTTATTAACAGGTCATTTGCAGATCATTTCTTTTATTATAGAGAATTCTGTAATAACTTTGATATATAGGCCAATTACATATTCTATATTTCAAGAATTTAATGTTGAGTAAATGCTGGAAAATTCGAGTGAAAGAAAATATGATAAAGACTTATTACGGGAATTATTTATCTGAAACAATGTTCATTCTGCTGTGATTAGTCTGTACACGATTAATTTTGATTAGCTAATACCACGTTAACCCCCCATGATTAACTCTGCATCCATATTATTTCAAACACATGCTTCAATCAAGAGCAATAGAAATATGCTACATAATAAGTAAAAAAATCAGATTATCTATATTGTGCTTTATATAACAATTAAAAAATTTACTTACTTTAAGATCAGATGCATTAATATGTATTAGATACACTACGCTATAAAACCTAATAATTAGATGCCAGCCTGGCACTGTATATAAATGGCATTTTGATAATACCGATCTTGAGCATATTTCATAAATAGTCTATCAACTCGATAAAGCCATTTAATTACTACATACTAGATTACTTTAACCGAATTTATTCATTTTTGCGTTTGCGTTATCCTATATATTCGATGACCGTAACTCGATGCACTCTTCCAAATATATTTTAAATAAAGGCAAGTGGTAGTAATAAATAATTCGGTATAAGATATCAAGATAATTAATCAAAAAAATTTTATATCCCATATTATGCTCACATAATTGCTAATGCTCTGGTCTTATTGAGTGAGTCAGACTCGATAATTCTGATTGCATTCAAGACAAACAGGACGTACATTTCCTTTAATGTGATCTAATTTATTATCAATTCGATCCACCGTCTATTGATCGGGATTTCTAGCTTCATCCCATTCCTACAACATTTCATTGAGGCATAATTCACATTTATTTTTTTGCAAATCTTTTAATACAAGGATATAATCAACAGATAAGTTAAATTCACGACCTTTTTTTCTTATCTTGATCCATATATCCTACGAGTTTTTCAGAAATAAATGGTCTCAATGAATGTTCGATAGCTTTCTTATTTTTTGTATCTTCAATTTCAGGAGGTAATGAGGGACCTTCAATCTGAATAAGTTAGCTCAAATATTCTACACGACCAACTGCGAAATAAATTAGATTATCCTAGGCTAAATTTTCATCGATAACCCAAACACGTTGCGAAGCTTTGAGTGTCATTCCCTGACTGGTATGAATGGTCATTGCATATCCAAGTTCCCAATCTATAGCCTTTTTTTTCCTAACATGCCTTGTAAGAATTTATCAGGAAGTGTATTTAAGGGTAAGTGTATTATATCATTTTTTACTAGCTCTCTTTTTTCAGATGAGCCAGGGATCAGAACAAGGCAATTTTGTTTGCACCCATCTTTTGGCCTATAAATTAATGGGATTGGAATTTCAGGATATTTTGTACAATGAAGCTTGAGACATATTTGTGATGCAAGTCTTCGAAAAAGTCGATATGCTGATAGAATTCGATCTGAGGAAGACTATTCTTTTTCGAGATATTTCCATTTTTCTATAACTGGAATTGCTCTACAAAATAATTCTGATTGTACTTGATTATTTTTACGATGCATTTCCTTTTTGAGTTCATATAATTTAGAACATTTGGCCCAATAGTCAGTCAAGACTTTCTTGTAGTAATCAGCTCGTTTTTTTAACTAGCTATGGGGTATTTCTCCAAAGAATGGTAGAGGCTGGGCATCATCACCGCAACAAATTACTTGACATTTTTGCTCTAGTAAGTAATCGATAAACTTTTCTAAAATGTGTTTAGGCACTGTACATACTTCATCCTATATAACAACTCGCAGGAATTTTTTTTCTCCTATACGTTCAGGAGTCCACTCTTCTACACCATTCCATCTAAAGAAACTATGCCAAGTTTGGGCTTTTACCTTACGGTCATTTTGGAAGTCTTTGGCCAATGCATTTGTATGAGTGAAAACAACCATGCTTATGTCTTTAAAAATTTTGATAGCTTGTATCGTTTTACCAGATCCACCTCCTCTATTGAGATATGAAGTTCAATATCGCGTAATAGGATCATGAATTGATAGAGCCGTACTATCTGGAATATCTTTGATCAATTCCAATGCCTATTCTTTGGCCAGTATACAATATCAGCAACTGGTCCATATATTTTTTCACCCTTATCATGCCATTGACCAGGTTGAATATTTCGAACTTCTTGTTCTTCTTGCTGATTTAACTGCTTTTGACAAGAATCTGATTTATAAAACCATTCCCCAAAGCAAAATCTGCAAACAAACAGAGTATGCTTTTATATTCATATTTTACTAGAGGCCTTTTTGTTTTTAGAAACTCTTTAATCCATTTTGCATATTCTGATTTTGAAATAAAAAATTCTTCTGGATCGCTACACATTGCACAAGAAGGATAGTGCAAACATAAATTCGGATCTAACTTTACCTCAACTTGCTTGAAGAATGCTGGTATATTTTCGATCTTGTATAAAGCCTCTTTTTGTACATATATAGAATCTGTAGCAATCCTTACTACTTCATTAGGATCGAATCTCCGAAGCATCTCTAACAAATTAATATACGCATATGCTAATATTGAGGCCCGCAGATGTGTATATTGAGGTTGATGTCCCTCGTAATATGTAAGTATGAATCTGAGTGGACATTTTTCTTTTCCGGCAAAAGTTCCGGCATCAGTACAATCTTTGACCAAGAAATCGAGCTCACCTTCATCTGTTACAAGTCGATAAGTAAGTCGTTTTTCATCAATCTTGTCACCTTGTGTAAACTTACCTATAATTGCACAACTAATATTTCGATTTTTTGGTAACCATACTTTTGTTTGTTGGTAAGAGAAATAATTGCTTCCCCAATAGTTACACTTTCTAGATATCGTAGAAATACAATAGGTGCCCATTCTTTACTTTTTACACATCTATCTCTGCTTTGACATGCAAAATGTTTTTTATACCAGACTGGGATTACTGGATGTATATTAGAAGCAAATTTGAAAGATTTTATCTGTGCAAATCCGGTGATATCATCTTTTGGTAACTTTCCATTTACTGCTACTCGGACAAGATGATATACTCGAGCACCTGGAATATATATTTTTTTCTCCCAATCATTTATTTTTTGCCGACGAATTTCTGTGAGTCCATGCCCTCGCTTAGTGTTATCAAAATACTCTATTACTCATTGAGCTATACAGTTAAGTGCTCCATCTTTTATAGGTATTAATTGATTGATATCTGGCTTTCGGATTCGATATAATCCATATACTACTGCATTACTGTCAAGCTTCCCTACCTCAGATTGCTTACTGACTTCTCTAACCAGAAATTTTTCGTCTATTCCTAGCCAAAAGCCTGGTTTCGTTTTCTTTGTAAGTATAATATTTGGACCACCCCAGACATATTTACTACCTGCTTTTTTTGATTTACGAATAGGCTCATATTTGTCAATAATTTTAAAGCCTTTTTTTGTTTTCTCAACTGATATTACTGTATTGTCTCGAATGAATTTTACTCTTATTAAATACTCATAATTATCAATT